TTTATTTATTTATTTATTTATTTGGCGGAAGTGGGGACTGAACTCAGGCCCCTGCGCTTGCCAGGGAAGCGCTTATTCCATGGAGCCATCTCCCCGGCCCCAAGTTTTATTTTTTAATGACTGAGCAATGGAAGATATTTAGTTCATTTTTAAGTAATCAAGAGTCAAACAGCACTTCTGAAGGAATAAATGGAGGCAAATGGAGATAAGTCTGAATGAGCAGAGACTAGGCTTTTGGGGGGCCATATTACTGGTATTTGTTTTTGTATCCCTATAACAAAGATCACTGTTTCTGTATTTGCACAATACTACATTCTCTTTCACATAAAGGTGAATGGGGAAGAGACCACCTTTATACTTCTTAGGGCCAGGGAGATAGCTCAGTGGAATAAGTGCTTGCCTAGCAAGCGCAAGGTCCTGAGTTCAATCCCTGGTACCACCAAATAAGAAAACAAAACAATAAAAACCTCGAGATCTCCTAGCAACTAATGTGTCTTTTTTTTGTCTCTCTCTCTCTCTTTTTTTTTTAAAACCGGGGATTGAACTCAGGCCCTTATGCTTGCCAGGCAAGTGCTTATTGTACTGAGCCATCTCCCTGGCCCTAAAGTGTCATTGTGATAAACACTGAGAACTATAAGCATTGGTGGACTGACAGATGTTGGTGATTTAACGATTCATGTAAAAAAAGCAAAATAATTTATTTTAGCAAAAATCCTTGTTTCACATGCTATCTCATTTCACACAGTACATTCTTTCTCAGTTTTTGTTTACATACATACATACTTCTTTTTTTTTTGGCGGAACTGGGGATTAAACTCAGGCCCTTACATTTGCCAGGCAAGTGTTTATTCCACTGAGCCATCTCCCCAAGCCCTACATACATACTTCTAACAGTTCAGCATCTTTATGTTCTCTGTGACAGAGAACTTGGAAAAGAAATTAAGGAAGTAGGGTACCTTTGAATCTCAGTTCTGCTTCTAATCAGACAGAAGGTTTGCTAGTTAATTTAACCTCTAGGTTTGCATGGGCTCATGTCTTCCTATACACATATCACCCAGAAGCACAGAGCAGTAACGAGCTCTCTCTTCTAGAAGACGAGAGAGAAACTACTATTTTTTGGTACCAGGAATCAAACTCAGGACCTTGCCCTTGCGAGGTACTATGTCTTCAAAAGGCTCATTCTTCACCTGTTTTTCTCTTCCAGTTCCTTATTCGCTTTCCTCTTGAATTTGGGCAGTAGCTGCTGAAGAAGATCCTTTACTGCATCACGTTCTTTCACTGCTGTGCTTTCATTGGAAAAATGGAAATTTGTTGTGTCCCCTGCGTGAAGGACCAGCTGAAGCTGAATTTTAGCTTTTCCCTCTGGACTAATTTTCTGGCCTAAAAGGAAACATGAAGCTCATCAGGACACTCACACGGTAGAGTAGGTTAAGCAGTAGGTTATTTCTCCTAAAACTAAACATTCTTTAGGGGGGCTTTAGCTGCTCTATTACAATCTTACTGGTTCTGTAGAAATGCACTCTTTTCAAATAATACCACATAATCAGTGTACGGCTTAACACAATTATTAATATTGCTTCTTTCCTCTATAGTTTCCATATAGTCCTTCTCATCTGTACTTTGATATTTTGACCTCCCATTACTAAGAGGCTTTTCATTCCATTCAACTAGGATAGATTCCTTGAAAGCTTTCCAGCCAGCCAACCAGGACCCCTGAATCCATCCTAAACACTGAACTTCAAGTGACAACATCACTAAGAAAAATAACGTGTCATAATCTAAGCCTGTTAAAACACATGACTAAGAAAAATAGGCAATTTTACATTCGGGAGAACTGTCAGCACTTGAATCAAGAGACTAATCCTAGGTGGGGGCCAGGGAGATGGCTCAGTGTAATAAGTGCTTCCCTGGCAAGCGCAAGGGCCTGAGTTCAACCCCTGGTTTGGGGGGGGGGGAGAAAAAGAGAGAGAGAGAGAGACTAATCCTAGCCTCATTAATTTTTTGTTTTGAATTTTCTTTTTTTTTTTCCTTGGTGGACCCGAGGATTGAACTCAGGCCCTTGCGCTTACCAGGAGTTTTGAATTTTCTAAAACAAAAACAAAAACACATTAATTTATTTGGTACAGGGTCTTACTACACAGCCTGGACTTGTAGTGATCCTTCTGTCTCAGCCTCCCCAGTGCTGGGATTACAGGCATGTGCCACCATGCCAACTTTTGGTAGCTGGCACAGTGTGCTCAGGGTTCCGGGGCCAGCATGGCATGCAGTACTGGGGATGAACCCTGCTTGCCAGGCAGGCACTTCGACCACCAAGCTATCCCCCAATCCCTCTCAGCCTCATTTAAAAGAAGGACACCACACTCTGTCTTCTGAGATGACGAAGTGGAGTAAACACCAATACTGATGTATCATTGCCCAAAATATTTAGCTTGAGTATAATCAAGTCTCCAGCTCTTTCAGTTTATAAGAAATACAGAGGGCTGGAGATTGTAGCTTCCCTGGCAAGTGCAAGGGCCTTAGTTCAACCCCTGGTTCCACCAAAAAAGACATTACTGAGATAACTGAGGAAATGTAATAACAGTCTGGATATTTATGATCACAATGTACTTGAGCCAGACATGTTGATACATGCCTATTTTCCCAGCATTCCAGAGGCTGAGGAAGGAGAATCGCTGAGTTCCAGGCAAGCCTGGACTATATACCAAGACTATCTCCAAAACAAAAAATCCCAAGTTTTTTTTGTGAAAATGATCTTATCAAACAACACCAAGTGTATATATAAATAAACAAATGCAGTAAAACATCAACTGCAGTATCTAGGCGGGATATTTTACATAGCTTTTCCTTGTACCATTCTTTAATTTTTTTTTTTTTTTTTTGCGGAACCGGGGATTGAACTCAGGCCCTTACTGAGCCATCTCCCCGGCCCCCTTTTAAGAGGTTTTTTTTTTTTTCTTTAATTTTTTTGATTTTGAAGACTTTTTTAAAAAAATCAGAGCAGACAGCACTAATATATACCAGAGAACAACAGAGAAACTTGTGTTCTTAAAAAGCAGCACTCTGTGGTAACTGTGGTGGTTCTCTTTCAGGAAACAGAGATATTGGGCTTTGGCCTATTAAATGCGTGACTTGTGGTGGTGTGACACAGTGCACAGTTCTTAGCATAAACAGATCTCTAAACCTTCCTTTTTTTTTTTTTTGCAGTACCAGGGATCGAACTCAGGACCTTGAGTTTGCCAGACAAGCACTTATTCCACTGAGCTATCTCCTCGGCCCCCAGATCTCTAACCTTTAAACAGAAACTCTGACCACAAAGATTATGCTAGCGCATAGTATAGATGAAATACTCTACTGTTAAAAGCAGTAACAATGAAGTAATTTATTGGTCAGCCCTCTCAGGTGTGGTGGTGTACACCTATGGCTCCAGCACTCAGGAGGCTGAGGCAGGAGGATCGCTTCGAGTTCGAGGTCAGCCTGGGTTATATACAATAAACTCAAGGCCAGTCTGAACTACAGTGAGACCCTGTCTCAATACCTTTCATCACCCCATCCCTCTGAGACAATAAGTCCTTCCCAGGCATCTTTCCTTAGTGTTGCTCCTGCCTCTGAGAGGCTATGTGCTTAAGTTTTTTTTTTTTTAAACAACTTTTTTTTTTAATTTTTTTATTTATTTGAGAGAGAGAGAGAGAGAGAGAGAGAGAGAGAGAGAGAGAGAGAGGTGTGTGTGTGGCCAGCTCAGCCCACCAGGGGGCGGGGCTGGCTGGCATGTGGTGCTGGGGGATTGAACCGCGGTCCCTGATGCCTTGCCAAGCTTGTTCCAAGTAGGTGCTTTAGACCACTGAGCCATCTCTTCAGCCCCTGTGCTTAAGTTTTTAACAAGCTAATTTCAGCCTGAAAGACCACTGCTGATTTTCACTTGAGTAATTTATTAGTAACTTTCAAAAGTGGGCATTCTTTCAAATAACAACTATTCTGGAACAAATCTAGATCTGGGCATGCACACTCCAGGATCAGAACTGCACAGAAACTGGAGATTCTTTATTGTATAATCTGAGTAATTTTACAACGAATGTGTTTTGCTCAGTTACAGGCCCTGCTTCCCACTGAGGAGAAATGGTAACACAGGCAGTTTTTAGTGTATCAGTGTATTGCATAAATGTTAGTGTGTAAGACTTATCAGGAATTGTGGCAGTTCTCCACAGAAACAAAGTAACAGACGATCCTAATGCCAGGATAGTTGACAAGACCATACCAGTAGATTAGGCAGAAGTGAACTGTGACAAATTTTAAACAGTACTTCTTCCTTTTTTGGGGGTGGAGGGTAGTTGAGGCAGAAGCTCACCACATAGTCCAGGCTGGTCTTGAATTTATGGAGATTCTCCTGCCTCAGCCTACTGAGTACTGGTATTACAGGCATTATGCCACCATGCCTGGTTCTCTTTAAAAATAATGATTCCAAGTCATTTCAATGGAGAAAGACAGAAATTTTGGTCATTTCTAGCAGCAAAATAGAATTTATGCCCAGGAAAAGAGATAAATCCACATTAATAGCTGAGGTACTACAATATGCCAAGGGGCTGCCCAGACTTTCCTGAGTGTCAGTGTTTTTAAACCTAATTATTATTAAAGCATGTTACATTATCCCCTGGGTAATAAATTTAATATTAATCTCTCAAATTTCCTTTGGTTGAAAATTTTAAAGAAAGAATATGGTTATATAGCCAAAGACTAATTGGACAACCTTTCTAAATGGTGCAATGTTACCTAAAATAAAAAAAAAATCTGGCACTACCTGTTAACATGCCCTCTTCCACCCTGTCCTGGGAACTGAACCCAGCATGTTCACAGTAACTACATCTCTGTCTCCAATCCTTTTAGAGATGGGTTCTTGCTGGGCTGATAGGTTGCCCAGGCTGAGCTTAAACTTCTGATGTTTTTGTCTCAGCCTTCCAAAATACTGGGATTACAGAACAGCTTCATTTATATGCATGTAAAATGCACACACATACACAAACGGCAGAGTGTTACATACATACACCAATTCTGCATTTTAAATATATTTCAAATGTGTACTAAAAATACGTATTTTTGGTTTTTGGGCTGGCTCAGGCTGCCTTTGGGGCGGGTCTGGAAGGCATGGGGAGCTGGGATCAAACCGCGGTCCCCTGTGCCTGACTAGGTTTGCCCTGGCAGGCGTTAACCAACTGAGCTAACTCGCAAGCCCCACAAAATACAATTTTTAAAAACGTACAAAACATTTGAAACAGTAAACACAGTAACATGCTGCAGAAATATATCCTCTCTACACAACCTTTTAAAGTTCTGCAATGTAAAATATTTGTAGTAACAAAATTCTAAAGCTGGGCATGGCCTGGGGATACAGCTCAGCTGCATAAACACCTGCCTGGTGAGTGCAAGGTCCTGAGTTCCATCCCTGGTACTTAAAAAAAAAAAAAAAGTGGCTAATCTAAAACTGGGTATGGTGGCATACACCTGTAATCCCAGCACTTGGGAGGATGAGGCAGGAGGATCCTGGTGAGTTCAAGGCCAGCCTAGGCTACAAACTTAAGTTCAAGGCCAGCCTTGTCTACAAAGCAAGACCCTATCTTAAAAAGACAGAGAATAAAACAAAAGAAACTAGAAGCTTACTGTCTTTCAGTGTCATGGTTGAACATGATTGTATATCCACTCACTGGAATGTTACACAATTATCTCTTTTTTAAAGACAGGGCGTCACTACAGAGGCCAGAATGGTTGCCAACTTTGTGATCCTCCTGGCTCAGTCTCTTAAATGCTGGTACCCAGGCATGCACCACCATGCAAGGTATAATTTTTTTTTTTTCCCCCGGTACCGGGGATTGAACTCAGGACCCTGTCCTTGCCAGGCAGGCACTTATTCTACTGAGCTATCTTCCTGGCCCCACGCAAGGTATAATTTACATATTTTTCTACACTAATAAGAAACTTCGTTTTGGTACTGGGACTCAAACTCAGGACCTTATGCTTGCCAGGCAAACCTGTATATCACTAAGTTACATACCTATTCCTATACTTACCTATTTACATAAACCTGCACATGCTGTATTAATAAGCGAAGAGATTAGATAGAATCGTAAACATTCAGTGATATTATTTTGCAATTCTTTACACAAGGATTTTTAATGACATAAATTACAAAATTCACACTTTTTTTGGGGGGGGGCTGAATGCCTTCAAGGCATGTCTGGCTGGCTTGTGCTGTGGGGATAGAACCACAGCAACCTGAGCCTGACTGCTTTGTTGAAGCAGCCACTTAAAGAACTGAGCTAAGGGGCAGGCCCCCTCACACGTGTTATAAAATTACTAGGAAATACATTTACATCAGATCTTAGTGTAGCTGACTTACATTTAATATCTGCATACATATGGCTGATTGTAAATCTATCTTTGCCTTCAGGTGCCCAAGCGATTCTTTCTGCCATGAGGTACAGAGCTCCATCCTGTTTCTTCTGGCGCACCTTCTTTACGACCAGCAAAACTTCTTCAGATGAGGTCGCCATGATGGCTTAAGGTGCTAATAGAAAGAAATGAAGAAAAATGTGTCTGACACATCCATTAAGAGTGGCTTTACTGACTTCTAGTACCTCCCTAAGCTAAAATCTAAAATGCAAGATATAAACAGGAGGAAGGAAAAGATTCTTTTATTCAAAGTTAAAGTTTGCCCCACAACATAGGTTTGAGTTCACCTCACACTTCAGTGACACTTGACAATTTTTAAAGCCATTTCCACATATGCAAATAATGTCATCTTATTTTCTTCAGCTCTCCTGTATCATAAATACAAAATCTGACTATAAACATACAATCTTAGATTTACTCTATATTTAGAACTACAGTATTACAAAGGAGCCAGGAAGATAGCTCGGTGGCTTTAAGCGCCGGCTTGGCAAGTGCAAGGTCCTGTACTTGATCCTCAGTGCGGGGGGGGGGGGGGGGGGGGGGGGGAGAAGTACAAAGGATCCTAATGAAAATTTGTTGCAATCAAAATACATTTAAGCCAGGCCTACCTTGCTGGCCCCACCCCCAGGGCGATCTGAGCTAGCAATTAAGACTGGGCATGGTGGTGTGTGCCTGTAATTCCAGCTCTTGGGAGGGCTGTAAACAGGCAGATCACTACTAGTCTGATGTAGTAGTGAGACCCTGAATGCCCTGTAGACCCTTCCCTAAAAAATACAAAAACCCCAAGACAAAACACATTTAAGGTAGCTGGGAGTGGTGGCACATGCCTATAATCCTAGCACTCAGGAGGCTGAGGCAGGAGGATCATTGTGGAGGGAAATCAGCCTAGGCTACCAAGTCAACTCAGGCCAGCCTGAACTGCAAAGGAGATCTTGTCTTAAAAAGACAAAGCAAAATAAAACCAACAAATTTAAGTCACAGAATTTGTGTGAACATTTCAAAACCACAGTGCCACAGCTAAAAATCACACCCAGGTCACCGTTGTCTTTTTTTTTGTATTTTAGTACAGCGTCTACAGGGTCTCACTACACAGATCGGACTTGTGGTGATCCTCCTGTTTCCAGCTTCCCAAACACTGGGATTATAGGAGTCCCTCTAGGTGGGGACTCAGGCTGGCTCAGGCAGCCCCCTGGGGGCAGGGCTGGTGTGGCATGTGGTTCTGAGGATGGAACCGTGGTCCCTGCAAGCTTGCCTAAGCAGGCACTTTTGAGTCTGCTGAGCTATCTCGCTGACAAGGGATCAGCAGTTTGAGTTCAGCATGGGCAACTTAGCGACACAGAGACCTTGTCTTTTAAAAAAAAGTTTTTGGGATGTAACAAAGTGCAAAGGCCCCGGGTTCAATTCTAGTGTCACAAACAAAACAGAACAACTATCCAGGCCTGGGGATGCAGCTCACTGCCAGACTGTATGCATATCATACTATGTCCTGGATATGACCCCCAATGATCATGTATGCATGTTCAAAATCACTGAAAAAAATAGATCAGAGGTAAGTAAACACTGGGCACAACAGGTCCAGGTCAATTGTCTCATGCTAATTTGCTTGGCAAGCTTCCCTGGTCATGTGTGTCACTACTGTTAATTATATAAAGACTAATTTTAGAAGGGTTGACAGAACCACTGAGGCTATCTATCCTACAAGAGTTTCTGTGATCTCCAGGTTCCCTGAAGTACAGTCCTTGGATGGCAAGCACTCTTCCAAACAGAACTCTGTAAGAACCATAGAACATTTCATTTATGAAGACTATTGTAGTAGACCATAAATAAATATAGTCAGAGAAGATCTTGCATTACTTAACAGATTATTTTCTGAGCTTGGTGTGGTGAGGCATGCCTGTAATGCCAGCACTTGCCTGTAATCCCAGCACTCAGGAGGCTGAGGCAGGAAGATTATTGAGAAACAGAGGCCATCCTGGGTTACACAGTGAGTTCAAGGCCAGCCTGAACTGCATAGCAACACCATCTCAAAAAGGCAAAAAACAGAAACAAAACCAAAACCTTTATGACATAATGTCTGTCAAGGATAGAGAGGTAGCTTAAAGGTAGAGTATATGCTGAGAAGGTGCAAGGCTCTGGATTCAATTCCTGACAGTGGATGAAATAATCTGTCACTAGAATTCTTTAAACAGCAAAACCCTATAGGAAAA